ATCTTTCCCAGCATCAGGGTCTTTTCCAATGAGTCAGCTCTTCACATCAGGTGACCAAAGGATTGGAGTTTCAGCTTCAACATCAGTCCTTCCAGTGAATATTCAGGACTCATTTCCTTTAGGATGGACTGGTTAGAGCTCCATGCAGTTCAAGGGATTCTCAAGAGTCTTCTCTAACACCACAGGTCAAAAGCATCAATTCTTTGGCTTTCTTTATAGTCCAACTCTCACATCCATACATGACTACTGGAAAAACCATAGCCTTGACTAGACAGACCTTTGTTGGCAAAGTAATGTCTCTGCTTTTTGATATGCTATCTAGGTTGGTCATAACTTTCCTTCCAAGGAGTAAGTGTCTTTTAATTTCATGGCAGCAGTCACCATTTGCAGTGATTTTGGAGCCCCCCAAAATGAAGTCTGCCACTGTTTCCACTGTTTCCCCATCTATTTGCCATGAAGTGATGGGACCAGGTGCCATGGTCTTAGTTTTCTGAATGTTGAGCTTTAAGCCAACTTTTTCACTCCCCTCTTACCATGGCACAGGGAACGTAGTCCAGATAGATTCAACTTAGATTGTTCTTTCTCACTTCACTATTTCCTTTTCCATGTTGGGGAAATTTTCAAAATGTTGGTGCATTTAATATTGTCCCAGAGATCTCTGAGACTATCCTCAGTTATTTTCATTCTTTTTACTTTATTCAGCTCTTCAGCAGTTACTTCCACCATTTTATCTTCCAGCTCACTGATCTGTTCTTCTGCTTCAGATAGTCTGCTGTTGATTCCTTCTAAAGTATTTTTAATTTCAGTAATTGTGTTGTTTGTCTCTGTATGTTTATTCTTTAATTCTTCTAGGTCTTTGTTAATTGATTCTTGCATTTTCTCCATCCTGTTTTCAAGGTTTTTGATCATGTTTACTATCATTATTCTGAATTCATTTTCAGGTAGTTTGCTTATTTCCTCTTCATTTATTTGGACTTTAGTGTTTTTAGTTTGTTCCTTCATTTGTGTGTATTTCTCTGCCTTTTCATTATTTTTTTAAAATTATTGTGATTGAGGTCTCCTTTTCCCAGGCTTCAAGGTTGAATTCTTTCTTCCTTTTGGTTTCTGCCCTCCTAAGGTTGGTCCAGTGGTATGTGTAAACTTCATTTAGGGTGAGATTTGTGCTGAGTATTTTTTTTCTCTGATGGGCAAGGCTGAGTGAGGTGGTAATCCTGTCTGCTGATGATTGGGTTTGTATTTTTGTCTTGTTTGTTGTTTGGATGAGGTGTCCTGCACAGAGTGCTACTGGTGGTTGGGTAATGCCCGGTCTTGTATTCAAGTGGTTTCATTTGTGGGAGTTCTCACTATTTAATACTCCCTAGGGTTAGGAGTTCTCTAATAGTCTAGGGTCTTGGAGTCAGTGCTCCCACTCCAAAAGTCAAGGCTTGATCTCTGGCCAAAAATGGAGATTCCACAGGTAGTTTGTTATGGCATTAAAAGAGATTAAAACAAATACTCAAAAATGAGAAATGAAAGATGAACCCCAGACAAATGGCAGTTACAAAATCAGGCAAATAATAATTAAAATAATGGAATATATACATATACACCTGTAAGCAAAATCAAAACAGTCCAACAAAAATAAAGTACAATACATTGATCTGGTGAACAAAGGAAACAAAAAATGATATCCACCAGTTAAGAACAAAACTAACTAAAGCACAAACTGGAAAACAAAACTAAAGCAAGGTGCCAACTGGGGAATAAAGCTATGAAAACAAAACTAACGAATATGGTGAGAAAAAGAAAGGAAAGATAGAAAGAATGGAAATGCAAAGTTAAATAAAGGTAGATAAAGAAGATACATATATGTTAAAGATTAACTGCTAGGGGAAAAGAACAGTAGGAAAAGCAAACAAAGGCATAAATGTAGAAAAAATAATAATAGGTTTTTAAAAATTAAAATTAAAAAAAAATTTAAAAAAGAAGGAAAAAAGGCAAGGAAAACTCCACAGAACTGCAAAAGGCCAATGTAGATGCAGAGGTTTACAACAGAAATAAAAACTGTGATTGAAAAAAAAACCACTCAAAAGCTTAATTAGATTTCATAGTGCTAATAAAGTCGACAACTACAACAGAGAGGGGGAAAATGGAAAACAGAAATGGAAAAACAGAAAAGGAAAAAAAGAAAAACAGAAAAAGAAATTACAGAACAAGTCAAAATATAAGAATAACAGATGTTTTTCTTGAGTCACTGCTGTCAGTGTCCTTTCCCTCGCTGGAAGTCACAGTCCACCTCACCTCCATAGGTTGCCCTCCAACACTGTGTTGGTCTCTGGGCCTGCTATGAGGGCAGCTTAGACTCTAATCTGGTCTTACTCCTGTGTCTGGTTGCTTCCAACGTCCACAGCTATCAGAACTAGCACATTTTCTTTTGTGGGAGCTCTCAGTGTCTTTTTATATATACCGGAGACACAAAATCTGCCTAGTTGATTGTGTGGATTTAATTTGCAATTTGTACAGCTGGTGGGATGGTTTTGGGTCTTCCTTAGCCACACTGCCCCTGGGTTTCAATTGTGGTTTTATCTCCACCTCTGCAGGTAGGTTGTCCACTGGGCTTTACTCCTGAGGCTGCCCTGGAGGACTTGGGTCTGCTCCTGTGAGGGCCAGAGATGGAGGTGGTGCAGCTGCTTGGGTCACAGGGGTTCTGGCAGCACCAGGTACTCAGGGGGGTTGGCAGCTAGGGCAGCAGGAAATACAGTGTTTTAGAAGGCTATGGGGAACCAGTATTGGCCAATACACTCCAGTATTCTTGCCTGGAGAACCCCACTGACAGAGAAACCTGGCAGGCCACAGTCCACAGGGTCTCAAAGAGTTGGACACAACCGAAGTGACACCGTGTGGATAGATGCAGAGCCTGTGGCAGCTCTGCCCCAGTCAGGGTTGAGCATGAAGGTGATGCAGCTGCTTGGGTCACAGGGACTCTGATGGCACCAAATGTGCAGGGACACGGACTGCCTCAGCCACGGGAGTTATGGCCCTATCAGAGTTTGCTTGTTTTTTGCTGTTGTTGTTCTTGAGCTTCTGGTAGCTAGCAATCAGAAGGCCTCTTTGGCTAGTCTTTCTCCATAGCTCCACCCCGTTCAGGCACTTAAAGGGTTCCCTTGCCTGGGGTCCTTCTCTGTTGTTCCTGTGTCAGGCACATAGAGGACCCCTCCCCCTCCACCCCCGCTGGGGTCCTACTCTGTGAATTGGCGCTTCAGGCACTGAAAGGGGCACCCTGGGTGGGGGCCTACTTTGTAGATCTGAATATCAGGCACATAGAGCACACGGCCCCCCCACGCTGAGGTCCTACTCTGTGGAACAGCACGTCAGGCACTTAAATGGGGCACCCTGAGTGGGGTACTACTCTGTAGTTTAGTGGGTGATGGGCCAGCCTCAATATTGTTCAGCTGAACAATAGGAACTCTCATTCATTGTTAGTGGGGATGCAAAATGGTACAGTCATTTTGGAAGCAATGTCTTATATAGCTAAACACTGTCATACCCCATGATCTAGCAATTTTGCTCCTAAATAGTTCACCAAATGATGTGAAAGTTAATGCTCACACAAAAACATGCACATGAATTTTATAACAGCTTAATTCATACTCCCTTTCACACACACAGACACGCATACAAATTGGAGGCAATCAAAATGTCCTTTACTAGCTAGATGGATAAACAAACTACCGTACATCAATACAACAGAATATTATTCAAGAATAAAAAGAAATGGGCTATCAAATCACAAAAAGAAATGGATGAAACCTGAATGAATGTTATTAAGTATAATAAGCTGGTCTGGAAAAGGTTATACACTGTGAAAGTGAAAGTCGCTCAGTCGTGTCCGACTCTTTGCGAATCCATGGACTACAGTCCATGGAATTCTCCAGGCCAGAATGTTGGAGTGGGTAGCCTTTCCCTTCTCCAGGGGATGTTTCCAAGCCAGGGATTGAACGCAGGTCTCCCAGTCTGGAAAAGGTTATACACTGCATGATACCAATTATACGACATTCTGGAAAAGGTAAAACTGTACGCGAATAAAAAATATCAGAGGCTATTTACTTTTGCTTCAAAATACTTTTATTAGTTTGGATATATTTTGTCAACACTCAACTACTCCTCTTCTTCGATGTGTAAATCCACTCCATCGGAGTCTCCGGTGTTCATATAATGTAACGTTATTCTGTGCGTCAGCAGAAACCTCGATATTGGGACGCTGGCGTTTCTCACCGGTTGCCTCATTGAATTTCAGATTCTGCACCCTGGACGCAAGGTTCACAAGTTCCTTCTCGACCTCGGTTAAGGCACCGCACATAGTCTTTGTCGGGGGAAGTCTTTATCTTCTTTCTTCCTGGAGAGCCAAATGAACAGCCCCGATGGACACGAGGAGTGCACACGTTACTCTTGTCACTGCCTCCTAGAAACTTCAGGATCACCAACAACATGAGGAAGAGTAAAAGCCAGTGTGACTTGCTCCCAAACCAGCCTGGGGCATGCTCTGGTTGATTCTGCCGAATCCGGAAGTGCCTTCCGCTGGGCACCATCCCCAGAAGTTCTTCGGCTTCATCTCTCAGAGCATAAAACACATAGGCAAAGATAAACGAGACAAACGTAGGCCAAAAAATGAACCATATTACAGACCGCATCGTGAGCTGAAACCAAGTGGCTCCTGGTGCGCTGGTCTGCGCTGGCACCTGGAGACTGAGGACCAGGCAGGGCTGGGCCCTTGGTGACGTCACAGAGGGCCCCGCCCCACCAGAACCCATGTGGCCCGAGTATGACTTCAGGGCAGAGGGTAAGGAGGCCTGCAGGGGTCAACCGGGAGTGGGGCTTAAAGGGACATGGCGACATTTCCAGTGGGCAATTGAAAAAGAGGCGAGGAGTGACAGAATGCCATCTCCATGCCGGTGTATTCTTTCTGAACCTGGTGTTCTACTGGGAGGGTCGGTCCATCTTCTATTTTTATTTTTCCATTTGTTGAATCCAGACACTGGTGGGCAGAGCAGACCCACGGGCATGTGCCCCTGTGGAGCAGAGAGCCAAGTGGGAAAGAAAGATATTAAACCAGAGGCCACAAACTAGGAGCCACTGATGTTTTGTGCGGCCTACTGCTGTTCCTAAAAATGACTGTGCTCAGTGCTAAGTCCTGTCTGACTCTTTGCCACCCCATGGACTGTAGCCTGCCAGGTTCCTCTGGAGAAGGAAAATCAGGGGCATCACCAGTGATGTGGTAGAGGTGGGCAATGGAGTAGGTACTCTCTAAGATCCCTCCCAGATCAGAGGTTCTATGATCCTGCATGGCAATTTCCCAGAGGGCGGGGATGCACCTCCCAGGCAACAAGCAGTGGAACTGGCACATCTCTGGGGAATTGCTGAGTTGGCGACACTACACCGCCTCTGACGCACCTGTGGATGAGCAGGTACTAGCTGCACTCTCCCTCTGTGCTTGTCCAACCGCCACATGTGCTGGAAGGTGACCTTGCTCCGCAGGTGCGGCTTGAGAGCTGTGCTCCTTTTCACTGTCCTTCCCTAGGAAGATGATCCTTCTTTGTGCTGTGCAAGTTGATGATCCAAACGCTTGTGTATGGCTGCAGCACTCGGCACTTTGCCTTTCTGTCTGGGCCGGTGGTTTGCACACTTGAGTGTGTATCAGAGTCACCTAGAGGGCTTGCAAAGTCCCATATTGCTGGATCTCAGTCCCCAGTCAGTCCTGGGTGAAACGTGAAGACTGGCCCTTCTGTAGGTCTCTGGGCCACGCTGAGAACCACCCTCCAGGCAACGGCTTCACTCACAAAGATGCGGCTTCCCTCTGACTGCTGTGCACTGAACCTGAGGGGCCAGTGGGAGTGGAGCGGCAGCAAGAGCACCGAACTGGAGCCTGAAGGCCAGGGTTCTACACTGCACCTGCGCTCTAGTTAGCTGTGTGACCTTAGGCAAGCCTCAGCACTTCTCTGTGCCTGTAGCTGCCTCGCAGGCACAAGGATGCGATGAAGTTGGTGACTGCTACTCTGGGTGTTTCTGAAATTCAGAGTTGGTCTGTCACTCTTGTCCCCAGCCCAGTCTTCCCAATTGGGAAGCCAGAGAACCCCCACAGCACCCCACCCCCAAGCATCCAAGTGCCCACTTCTGTCCACAATCACTCCGAGCTGGAGTGGTCCACTTGCTTGGGGGTCTCCTTCTACAGCCGGCCCTGTGTATGGAGCCCAAAGAGTGAAACTGGTGTCCCCTCTTAGAGATCCACGTCTACCACTTGGGTGTATGTGTGTCTTGTGTGTGCTATTTCTTGTGTGTGCCTTTTAGCACAGAGATAAGGATACAGAATCCTAGAGCTAGTCTCCTGCAGGTAAATTCTGATGCTAACGATTTACTGTGTTACCTTGGGTAAGTTAGTTAATATTTCTGAGCCTCATGTACCCAACTTTAAAATGGAGAAACAGTACCTACTTCATGGGATTGCTGTGAGGACTAAATGGGATCATGTATGCAAGGCCTTTACTCCTGGCACATAGTAAGTGCTTAACATGGTAGCTTTTGTTTCTCAAAAAGAGGGTATTGCCCTGTCTATAACATTAGACATTGACATTATAATATTAAACAATGGAAACAATGACAGACTTTCTTTTCTTGGGCTCCAAAATCACAGCAGATGGTGACTGCAGCCTTGAAATTGAAAGGCGCTTGCTCCTTGGAAGAAAAGCTATGACCAACTTAGACAACATATTAAAAAGCAGAGACATTACTTTGCCAACAAAGGTCCGTCTAGTCAAGGCTATGGTTTTTCCAGTAGTCATGTATGGATGTGAGAGTTGGACNGACTCTGTGGGAGAAGGTGAGGGTGGGATGTTCTGAGAGAATAGCATTGAAGCAAGTATACTATCAAGGGTGAAACAGACCACCAGCCCAGGTTGGATGCACGAGACAAGTGCTCTGGGCTGGTGCACTGGGATGGCCCAGAGGGATGGGATGGGGAGGGAGGTGGGAGGACGGATCAGGATGGGGAATACATGTAAATCCATGGCTGATTCATGTCAATGTATGGCAAAAACCACTACAATATTGTAAAGTAATTAGCCTCCAACTAATAAAAATAAATGAAAAAAAAAAAAAGATTGAAGGTGGGAGGAGAAGAGGACAACAGAGAATGAGACGGCTGGATGGCATCACTGACTCAATGGACATGAGTTTGAGCAGGCTCTGGGATTTGGTGATGGACAGGGAAGTCTGGTGTGCTGCAGTCCATTTGTGTCGCAAAGAATCAGACATGACTGAACGACTGAACTGAACTAACTTCATTAGACATGCAGGGAAGCTGAGAACACAATGGCTACATGTGTCCTACTTTCTTAATACCTCCTATGGTACATAATAATAATGATAATACATATAGTAACACTAGGGCTTCCCAGGTGGCCCTAGTGGTAAAGAATCCACCTACCAATGCAGGACACATAAGAGACTGGTATTCGACCCTTCAGGATTCGATCCCTGCATCAGGAAGATCTCCTGGAGACGGGAATGGCAACCTACTCCAGTATTCTTGCCTGGAGAATCCCTGTGAACAGAGGAGCCTGGCGGGCTACAGTCCATGTGGTCGCAAAGAGTCAGACACAGCTGAAGCGACTTATCCGCTGCAACACATGGATTCATGTACATGTATTCTCAGTTCAGTTCAGTCACTGATAGTGGCTGGCATGGGGCAGAAGCTGCCAGCTGGCTTGAAGGCTCCAGGTTGCAACAGACTAGATGCCACTCCTGTCACCCTTCTGACTTCCAACTCTCCTAAGGGCAGTCTTTTCTAGGTTCATGTGATAGTAGGCCATGGTCCTCTCCAGGGCACTCTTCATCCCAACTAAATTGCTTTCTGGTACTTGGTGGCAATGGGATAGTATGAGTAGAAAACTGAAATAGTACCCAGTGGCAGGCGGGAATTGCCATTTACCCTTAAGGGTTCAGGGGATCCCTTTCCAGATTAGTGGATTTCTTTCTTACCAGGCTCCACACAGGTGCCCTAGACAGGCAGAAAGAGGCCAAGGAGCTCTCCACTTGTTAAACATTCATTTACCAGTGCGAGTGCTGCTGTGGCAGGTCCATGGCTGCCTGAGTCAAGAATTTGATGGTGTAGAGAAGCAGTAAAGATGAAGCCTGAATATAGGGGGTCTCATGAGATCTGGTTCATCAGCTGTTCGAAAAGCTGTTGTGCAAGCTTCAGGCTGTCATCAGATGCGGGAACTGTCTGAAATAGTGGAGGATTTTGGTCACCCTGTTAGATTTGATCAGGGGTGTCAGTGACCTGAAAGTCTAACTCTGCATGGCCTTGGATCCCATGGGGTTTTGTCTGGGAAGTTGGGGATTCACAAAATTGAGAAAGTTTCCACATGGTTACAGAACTGACACTGCAGAGTTCTGGCAGAATTAGGTGCTTAGTGTCGCAGTTGTATCCGACGCTTTGTGACCCCGTGGACTGGGGCCCGCCAGTCTCCTCTGTCCATGGAGTTCTCCAGTCAAGAATACCGGAGTGAGTTGCCATTTCCTTCTCTAGGGGATCTTCCCAACCCAGGGATCGAATTCGAGTCTCCTGCATTGGCAGGCAGATTCTTTACCACTGAGCCACCAGAGTCAGAGCTGTCGATTTTTCTTTCTACAAAGAGTATTGAGTCCCTTCTGGGGAGGTAGAGGATCTGGTGAAGCTTGGCAAAAACTCATGCTGGAATGTTTGTGGAGGCAAATGTGAGCAAAATCTTGAGATGTACAGGATGCAGTTGCCCTGAAGATGGTAGAAGTTTGGCTTTATAGTCAGAGGAGGCCAGGGATGAAGAAACAGAGTGGAGCTGAGAGATAAGGTTTGCAAGTGACATTATATCTAGCCAGAACATTTGAATAATGCCACATGTGGACTTTTTCTTATACCTCATGGGAGAAATGACGCTTCAGTTGTGTCCAACTCTTTCTGACCCCATTGACTACAGTCCACCAGGATCCTCTGTCCATGGTCCTCTTGACTGGTCCTCCAGTCAAGAATACTGGAGTGGGTTGCCATTTCCTCCTACAGGGGATCTTCCTGACCCAAGCATTGAACCTGCATCTCCTGCTGCTCCTGCATTGCAAGCATATTCTTTACCACTGAGCCACAGGGCAAGCCCCTTGCTATACTTCAGTGATCATTATTTTTCCGAATCATAGAGTGGGGTTCACCCACACTGGAGCTGGCTTAAGCCATGTGAATTGGCTGGGCAGGGTCCACAGAGATTTCTAAAACCTTTTAGTCTAGCAGAAATCTGGAAGTAGCTACCATATGTCCTGGAATGTGCCAGTGCCTGACACATTGTGACTGAGGGCATAGGGATGCTAGGTCTCAGTTGGCATTCAGAGCCGGATTTGACTTGGTTACCCCTTTGCCGGCAGGCCGGGCTGGTCTTCCTGATGGGCAGACTTGCTGCATCAAGGGCACAAGAAAGTTCAACTTCAAGACTGGAATTTCACAATCAGGAAATCTAGAAGTGTCACTGGAAGTTCAGCAGAATAATTTGCAGTTTAGTTTTGCTTTTGTTTTAAATTGCGTATGAGGTAGATGTCATAGTCTTTTCCATGCTCTCAAGTCTCTGAGGGTCCTAAGTGGGCCTGGACAACAAGCCCAACAGCTTGGGAACAGTGAGTGTATTAGACTGGATTACAATTATGAAAGCCTTTTGGCGTGGTGGCCCCTCCTGGCCATGGGCACCTACAATGGCG